CAATTATTTTTTCACTTAGCGCCTTTAGCACTACCACCATGGTTACCACTCCCATCCATCTCACAATTGTGGTTTATTGTGACATTCAAAAGAGAAGAGTGTAATGGCTTGACGGTTCTTTTTGTCCCGCCGCTGTGGATCTAACTAACGCCTTTATCGACTCAAGGACACATGGCACAGTGGATAAAACCCAAAGAGTGGTGAGATCAATACCCGGTTAAGGCAGTGGAAAACTTTCAGAGGGAAATTACCAGGAGATAACTGATAACTGACATCCATTAAACATGGCACGTGGAACTAGAACAGTCTGCCCCAGTGAGCGAAATAAAGGATTCAGTTCGACATTCCAACCACCTGAAGAAGGCCGAAGCGTACAACGGCTGAAACGTTGTAATAAATATGGCGACAAACATGAGGACAATAGTCCGAATAATGTAAATAGTGTACATAATACCTCATCTCAGAAATGTCGACAGATACTGAAAGGCCGAAACGTTGTAATAAATATGGCGACAAAGATGAGGACAATAGTCCGAATAATGTAAATAGTGTTCATAATACCTCATCTCAGAAATGTCGACAGATACTGAAAGGCCAAAACGTTGCAATAAATATGGCGACAAAGATGAGGACAATAGTCCGAAGAATGTAAAGAGTGTACGTTTTGGAAAAAAATACTAGCAATATATTATTGAAGGAAAAAATTATTACCAGCAATACATTATTGCCAGTGGTACATTTTTGAAAAAGAAAAACATTACCAGCAATATACTTTTGGAAACAAATATTGCCACCAATAAATTTTTGAGAAAAAATATTACCAGCAGTAAAAATCTTGTCAACATTAATTAACCCATTGTGGTTGACATATCGTAAAACAAACCAAATCCGAACCGCATTACTAAAATGGCGGCAGGGTCTCATCTCATAGTTGTAATACCTATATGTAACCGTAAGTTCTCTGCTAAGAAGTTCTTCTATCGAATTTTTCGTTTGTTGAACTCTCCTCAGGATTCCCGCTTTCCAGCCAACTTTGAACTTCAAAAATCTAAACGCATTTTCAATCGCTATCTTCTTTTTTCTTAATTCCTGTACATCTATTCTTCTCTCTCTTTAATAATGTTTGCTTTTTTAAAAATATTTTCTCACACTTATCAACCCAGTCTTAGTGGCTTTATTTCCTTGCTTAGTCTGAAAGTTAAAACAATGGTTCAAGTCTTCTTCCCACCTTTACTGGGAGAAATCATTGACGGCTTCCCTTACTGCACACACATACACAGAGTTAACCTCTTCTGCTCTTTTCCTCTAAACCTAATTTTATTATTGTCATGCTTTGGCACTGTACACAGAAAATATTTTAGCTAAATCTTGATCTTGCCAGAGTCGAATATAGGGCAGACAAAACTTGTTCGAATCTATTTTTAAACAAAGAGCCATTCTCGGCAGATTGACTTGTAGAAACCAAATTAAGCTGGCACTCATAAGTCTTTATAAGTAAATTTTACCTTTTTTTTCCCTCAGTATCGACTTGACGCGTTGTACCCGTCGCAAACTAAAATTACAAGGTTGCACTTTACTAATATAATTATGCTCAAAACGCTGTCAGGCAAATAAATAGGCTGACAGGCCTGACTTTTAACTGAATTGAACTTAGCCTGAGACAAAATTGTTTTGAACAGGACATCCAGTAGGCATCGAAATCCCTGCACTAATGAAATGATCTTTAAAATATGACCATATTTTTTAACATGAATTATTGATTGATCTTCATTTAGTACGGCACAAGGCACGATTGACATGAGCGTTAGGGAATAAATTTAAATATACATATTATGACGGCTGCAAAGAAACAATTAAACCGAAATAGGTTCAATCTTTCATGCGGCAATAATTTCGACGTGAGTAATTTCAGGTTTCCAAGGTCACACGAAGTATTTCTACTTGACATTTATACATTTTTACTACAACCTGTAAACGTTTACCTCCAGTCATTGTTCCATTAAATAAAGGAACTGCTTCTCGTGGTGTAGAAGGCAAACACTACGTTGTCCATGATAGTTAAAGTAAAACTTGATTTTTATTTTCTTTTATTAACCAACATGTACTAAAGTCGATATCCTGCAAAATAGTTGACAAAATGCCTCAAAAACAAAACTGCTCTCTATTACTCACCAGAGAGAACCATCCCTGCTCCCATTAGAATGTCTGACGCTCAACTCCACGAGAGCACTTCTTTGCGACTGCTCGGTCTCACATTGTCCGCTGACCTGAGATGGAACGAATACATTGAGTCAATAGCTTCGTCCACCGCTAGAAGAAGGCCGAAGCGTACAACGGCCGAAACGTTGTAATAAATACGCAATTTTCATATTGGAGCTTATGGCACGAATGCCAAGCAGTACAGCATGTCTTCTTCAATTTTCTGGCAGAGTTAATTGGTGTTCTTTTTCTCACAGACAGTGCCAAACTGACCCTACTATACCGTGCTGTTGACAAATTCAAAGGAAACAACGCGCATGCGCGAAATTAAAAATGTAAGATGGCGATAATTTACATATCGCGCCCTACATATATATATGTGTGTGTGTGTGCGTGTGTGTGTGTGTGTGTTTGTGTGAGTGTTTGTGTAAATCACTTTGTATATGTGTGTGTTTTACTGCTGTTGCAAATAGGAAATTCGTAACTATTTCAGCCACTAGGCAGGCCAAATATTCTTATTAATTTCATTCTAACTTTTCCGATCTTGGAGAATATGCTATAATTATTATGGAACTGTGACTCTATAATTATAGACGAATATGCTCATTTCATATTCTAAAGTTCAGATCTTGCAGGCGATCGTTTAATTTTATAACTATTCTGTATTTGATATCTTTGTGTTTTTAAGTAGCTATTGTTTATGTTTTTTTTTTTTTTGTTTTTTTTTCGTTTGATTCCAATTTGTTCTCATTTTGCTGTGAGGCAGAATGTTAGGTTGGCGGTAATGGTTTCTTTAATTAGCGTCCTGTAATTTCGTCTCTTCATCTCGTTCGTCCATTTCCCTCTCACATCCTTTTCCTAACTCTTTCAAGAGGTCTCTTTCATTTCTTCTTTCTCTTTTTCTTCCTTTTTATCCATTTTACTGATTCTCTCTCTTTTTTTCTCTCTTTTATTGTTTTTCTATATCATTCTCTCCCTTGTAAGCCTGTTTCTCTTTCTCTGCCTACATCCACTCCTCTTTTTGTGATTCACTGTCTTTCTTTTTCCCTCTCACGTTGAATCTTTGTCATTTTTTCATACAGACTCTCTCCCTCTCTTTCTTCCCCTCTCCCTCTCTTTCTTCCCCTCTCCCTCTCTCACTCTCTGATTTTCTGTCTTCCCTCTCTATCATTGATTCACTGCCTTACTCCTTCTCTCTTGTTGATGTTCTCTTTGTGCCCTTCTCTCTCCCTCTCACGCTATTTATCACTGATTTTCTGTTTATCTCTTGTGCAGGCTCGCCCTCTTATTCCTTCAATGTCGCTGATTTTCCGTTTCTTTCTCTTCCTCTTTCTCTCTCTGATTCTCTATCTTTGTATCTCATCTCTCCTTTAGTGATTCCCCGTCACTCTCTTCATCTATCTATCTATCTATCTATCTATCTATCTATCTATCTATCCTTAAAAGTCTTTTCATCTATATATCTATCTTTTAGAGTCTTTTCATCTATCTATTCATCTATCTACCTATCTTTTACAGTCTTTTCATCTATCTATCTATCTATCTATCTATCTATCTATCTATCTATCTATCTATCTATCCTTTACAGTCTTTTCATCTATCTATCTATCTTTTACAGTCTTTTCATCTATCTATCTATCTTTTACAGTCTTTTCATCCAGCTATCTATCTATCTATCTATCTTTTACAGTCTTTTCATCTATCTATCTATCTATCTATCTATCTATCTATCTATCTATCTATCTATCTATCCGTTACAGTCTTTTCATCTATCTATCTATCTATCTATCTATCTATCTATCTATCTATCTATCTATCTATCCTTTACAGTCTTTTCATCTATCTATCTTTCTATCTCTTTTTTACAGTCTTTTCATCTATCTATCTATCTATCTATCTATCTATCTATCTATCTATCTCATTTTTATTTGATTTTTTTTGGCGAATGCCGACAATGGTTTCCTTACCAGCTAGCATTCGACAAGCATCAAGCAAAGACACGTAACCAACGGAATTCTTGACTGTGTCGTCGATACAAATAAATCTAATTCTAAAGAAATTCCATAGTAACACAGATTAAAAACAATAACAGAGTAAAAATGTTGCAAACAAACGCTGCCACACTGTAAACGAGAGGAATCAGCCGTTAAAAGCCGAATATACAAGGAAATATCTCTAGTTGAATGCAATAAATAGATATAAAACTAACAATTTATTACAAAGAATTGAAAGCATCTAAACTCGTAATTGAGAAAATGAATTGAGTAGTTCCATTATTTACAGTATTCGGACTATTATCCTCATCTTCATTTCTATATTCACAACGTTTTGGCCTCTATATCTCTGAAATGAGGTATTATGATTACTTGCATTATTTACATTATTTTGACTGTTATCCTCATTTTCATTGCTATATTCAGAACATTTCGGCCGTTTTATGCTCCGGACTTCTTCAGGTGATTGGAATTTCGACACGACTTTTAATTTTTCCTCCGGCGTAGATTGTTCTAATTCCACGTGTCATGCCTCTTCCGGATGTCTCAGCTATTTCCCTTTAACTCAACTCTCCAATTTTCACCACTGTTGTAGCATGTATCTTTGGGTCTACTCACTGGATCTAACCAACGTCTCCATTCACTGGGCAATCCCCTGAAGAAGGCCGGGTAGTACAATGGACGAAACGTTGTAAATATGGCAAGGAAGAAGAGGATATACGTCCGAATAATGTAAACAATGCAAGTATTCATAATACTTCATCTCAGAGATATAGACGAATCCATTACACTGTCCAGACATCCAAGCTGACAGCACCTGATATTCCCAAGCGGTCACCAATCTGGGTAGTGACCAGGCTCGACATTGCTTAATTTCAGTGTTTGTACGGGAATCGGTGTTACAACTTGATGGCGTCGTAAGCCCTTGACACCACCCGCACATCCAAGATTACAGCACCTGGTATTTCCAAGTGGTTACTCATCTAGGTACTGACTGGGCTCGGCGTTGCTTAACTTCAGTGATTGTACAGCAACTGGTGTTTCAAGTTGATGTGGTCGTAAGCCCTTTACACCACCCGCACATCCAAGATTACAGCACCTTGTATTTCCAAGTTGTCACTCATCTAGGAACTGCCTGGGCTCGACGTTGCTTAACTTCAGTGATTGTATAGCAACCAGTGTTTCAAGTTGATGTGGTCGTAAGCCCTTTATACCACTCGCATATCCAAGATTACAGAACCTGGTATTTCCAAGTGGTCACTCATGTAGGTACTGACCAGGCTTGATGTTGCTTAACTTCGGTGATTGTACAATAGAAATTTATTACAAAGAATTAAAAACATCTAAATCCGTCATCGTATAGAAAATGAACTGAGTATTTATACAAAAAGAAATAGGGACATGCGACAAAGATATGCCTGCTCCTCAGATTAATTCAACCTCTACAGCGACGTTATACTAAGGGATCAGAAGACCCTACTAGGATTTATTATCACTGGGCAAAATCTTAACAATATAATATACAAAGATGACACTGTGCTGATGGCTGACTCGGAAAGGAATCTGGAGGAGTGCCTAGACAAGGTGTTAGACGTGTTGTAGCATACCAACGGACGATAATGGGTATGACCCCATTCATATAAATACAGTAGTAAATGCTGTATGTTGGTCTGCAGTTGAAAATTCATTGTGGAATTCAAATGACTCATTTCTAGCAGTTGACTACTACTACTAGTGAATCTTATACGTGTTGTTCTTGTCCTAAATATTATCGTTCATTACCAACCTTCATGCAATTATTCTATTCAGTAACCTTCCCTAGGTTACATCAAGTAGAATGCGAGAAAAAAGGACTATCAAGAAGACATAAAGTATATTCAAAAAGCCCAAGATCCGAGTTACGAATTGGAGATGTCAACATCAAGCGGTTGCAGAAGTTTAAATATCTGGGAAGTGTTTTAACAGAAGATGGAAAACGCAACAGGGCTTCGAAAACTAAACCCTCACGGGTTATATTTAGGGCAAGAGAATTTAGGGAAAATAGCCACTTACCTGGCGAGTTTGTGTGTATAGATAGCGAAATGGGGGCAGGGGCTATAAGAAAGAGAGAAAAAACTACTAAGAGCCACAAGAGGTAGGAAGTTATGGAGGGCCGTAATTACCTATACCCTGGAGGAATGGGGTACATAGAAGAAAAACGTAACTAAGAAAGCCATCATAATAATTTTGCCGCACTAATATCATCTACACATTCTCATTCTCAATAAGTAATTGCATTCCCTGTGGTAGACAGGCCTGAAATACATACAGAAAATGTAAAACTAATACTCTATCCTGAGGATTAACCTTTCACATCAGAGATCACAATGTAATCCTTAACAATGTCAAAAAATATATACCACTCTGCAGTAAGATCATCAACATAAGTGAAATATATAACACGCGCATATGTCGTAATATTAAATATTTTCAAATAGTAGAACTACGCCACATATAGAAAAATAAAATTTTCAAAAATCGCGTTCGACACAAAATCATATTCGACATTGAAACGGAAGTTTTAAATTATATTCAAGAACTGAAAATGCATTTAGACAATGAAGAATATCATGAAATATTATGATCAACGTAAAGTTTTAACAGTATCTTAATATGGGCAGAACATCAATTTTCCATTTTCTGTTGAAAGAGCTGGATCACGAACGTTCAATAATATTTGGACCCAGTCATATATGAAAACAAGAAAAGTTTAAAATAAGAAAAAGGATTTTCTGGTATTTTTAAGACACAAACATACATATCACCCACTCTCTGTCTAACTTTCCCTCCACTCTCACTCTTTTATATTATATATATATATATATATATATATATATATATATATATATATAATTGTTGTATACTGAATAAATTCCAATAACCAAAAAATATAATTCTTAAAAGAGTGCTCAATACAGAGTAGAGCAAATATAATCATTTATTCGTAAATTATAACATAAAAATGTTATAAAATCACTACAAAAATAGCCATTTTGTTTCAACACTTCTGGTGTCTTATGATGTGATGGTGTTAATGTAGAATAAAACTTTTTATATATATATATATATATATATATATATATATATATATATATATATATATGGACACTGAGGTCAACAAGCATGAAAGAGAAAGTCGTCACTAGATGTTGACCTTTGTCTACACTTTTATATTTACATACGCTGTATTCATGATGTGTATCAAAAATTTAATATATAAATATATATATATATATATATATATATATATATATATATATATATATATATATATCTGAAAACGATCAATGTTCCTACGAGAGAAACACGTATATTTTAAAAAAAGAGAGAAGCCGCAAAAGGTTTTGGTTATAATGTGGATTTGTTTCAGTGTACATATTACATTTTATTCTTCATATTTCTGTTCCACGATTTTCAGGTCTCGTGATCTTCTTCAGGCAAATGAAATGAATATTTTTTTAAATTTTTTAAAGGAATAAATTTTCAAAGGAATAAATTTTCCTTATGTTCTTTGAATGATTCATTGTTCGTTTTCTGTATTTGTAGTGAACGTTGATCTCATTTCTGGACTGTTGGCAGAAATGGATTTCTGCCTAAGTGGTAATAAAACCACTAGGTTTATTCTGAGTGGTGGTGATGAGAGATGTGTTGATGAGAGATGTTTTCCTATCCCTACATTACCCTTGAAATTGCCAAATCCATTTCCATTTTTGTGTATTGTGTGTGCGTGCGTTATCTTGTACATGTATAAGTATATTCCCTTCCCGTATATACATACAGACTTATAAAAAGGTATATACATGCATATATATATATATATATATATATATAGATAGATCCACACACATTGACACGCACACACACTCTCAAACACCCACCCATATATATATATATATATATATATATATGAGATAAAGATATCTACTAACAAAAGTAATGGAAAGAAAATGAATGTAAATAAAATAGGCTAGATAAAAAAACAATACTTAAAAACAAAAAAAAATTCCCAGCATCCATCATTCGTGCGCATGTGTAATCGCACCAACATAACAAATTTAATCTGATGAAGTCTTAACGGACTTCCACTTTCTAATAATTGCCACCCCCCCGACACACATCATTTGTTTTAAATTGATACGCCATGAGTAGAAATGAATGTGAGAGAATCATGGAAGAGGTGCCCAGTCCTGGGTAGCAGCTACCCGAGGCAGCGCCCTCTCATTACACCAGAGAAAGGGATCGGTGCTCGCACCGAGATCAGTGCAACCGATCGAGCCAAGGAGAACCGTTCGATTAGCAAGGTCGATTTTACTGTTTTTAAACTTCAATCTTCCATGAATCTCATAAAAACAGTAAAATCGACCTTACTTACCGAACGCTGTGGCCAAATCGGTTAAAGACACGTCAGGCTATATGATGGTTCCGTATAGGATACAGGTTCGATTCCTGTCGGAGGACGTATATTTTCTATGAAAATTTCTCGGACATTTAGGCCAGTAAATGTTATTAATATTGTTTATTATAAACAGAGCATTTACTTAAATATTTGTTCCTATAAAAAGAATGTATAAGCATAAAAAAATGTCTTTATATATATTCAATTGTTCTGTATGTATGGGGAAGTGTATCATATAAATCGACTTTGGCGAGATTATATTTTTAATCCTCTCACTGCAGACAGGGCCATAATGCTGCTAAGACACAAGAGCTTACTGAATCTGAAAGAGATGTGGACACGGAAACAACACTGCATGTGACTGTCAGTTTCACTATTCATATGATTTTTGCACATTGTCCACATTATCTACCTATATCGAAAGTAAAAGCTATTTTTCTCGTTGTAACCTCTAAGCCATAATTAAGCCTTTTCATCAAGTTACTTTTAATAATCACCAACTTATATAATGAAAATCCGGACGAACTGGCAATTAAAGATAATACCTTGGGGTTTGCATTCGCGCTAAACTGAAACTTTCACAGGAGATAATTATTCATAGCTAATTGTATTCTGCTATCCCTTGTATATTTACTTATTATTAAAAATATCGACAGTATTATTCGCCCTGAGCTCCGGTGTATATATATATATATATATATATATATGTATATATATATATATATATATAAACGTCTGTATAGTGCGTCTCGTCTGTCTGGAACATTGAAAGGGCTTAATTCTGTATTAGTTTTTCAACGGTATTTTTTTTTCTAGCTGTCATAGTTACATTTCTAATTCCGACACGAACTCAGTCTATACCCGGGGTTGAATAGGACGGACGAATTTTTCGACGCTTGAAATAGGACTATTCCTTATATGAGGTAAATTTGGATTTTATTGCAAAAACTTTATTTGCTCAGTATTAATAAATAAATTGACATCTTTTTGTAGAACAGTTTGAATATTTTATATTACTAGACCAACGAATGTATTGACTTTTGATATATATATATATATATATATATATATATATATATATATATATATATATATATATATATATATATATATATATATATATATAGAGAGAGAGAGAGAGAGAGAGAGAGAGAGTGTTTTTGAGCTTATAAACCAGTATTGTAGAGTGAATTTGTATAATGGTAACAAGACTTTATGAATTTTTGTTCAGTACTAGATTGGCGGCAAGGTTTCATCATTTTACAGTGGAAATGTCTAGATGAAACCGTAAGTTCTTTGCTAGCAGTTTCTTCTCTCGAACTTCTCGTTTGTGGAAATCCCTACCGGCTTCTTGCTTTCCACTCAACTTCGATCTTCAAAAATTTAAATAAAAATTTAATCGCTAGATTCTGTACTCACGAATCCTGTTCATTTATTGTCCTCGCTATATACTAAAGTCTTCTTATTCTCTTTCAGTCCGAGTAACTCATTGCGTTTTAGCGTCATTCTGACCTTGCTTGAGATTAAATAATTAATATATATATATATATATATATATATATATATATATATATATATTAATCACCCAAACGCACAAATATATATATAGTGTGTGTCTGTATATGTC